GAACTGGGCAAGCCGAGGAGGTGACAGAACCTGCTAGCAGGGTTGAAGTCACCATCTTTTGTAACCTTATCACAAAAATGACATCCATCTCCTTTGGCATGATCTATTGGTTAAAAGAAAGTCACAGGTCCCACCCCCACTCAAGGAACCCCTGGGGGTCGGATCACCAAGAGCATTTTAAAAGTCTGTGTGACACAGACCATTGGAGGTGTCTGAGAAGGGAGGTGACATGATCTGTCCTATATTTTCAGTGGGTCACCTCAGCCTCCTTGGGCACTGGGTGTGTGAGGGGGGCTGGGCAAGAGTGGAAGGCAGATGGCCAGTTAGGGGTTCCGGGGAGAGATGACACTGGATTGAAGGGAGGAGGTGACAGTGGAGAGGCAGAGAAGTCAGATGAAAGAGCTGGGGATGACGCCAGGGCCCGCTGAGACGTGCCTCCTGCCTGGGGGACGATGGTGCCTTGGACTCTCGTGTTTCTCCTGGACACAGAGAGGGTGGCAGTACACTCATTCTCCTCCAGCCCTCCCGAGGCCATACATTTGCTGGATGGCTGGCCAGCTCCGGAGGACCAGCCCATGAGCAGAGAACAGATGTCTCCTTGTGCCAGGTCAAGTGACTGACCCCATGTCCTCATTCTCATCAACCTGCACATGCTCGGACAAAAGCCCATGGGCAAGGGGGAGGGAGGCCCCTCACCTGCACCTGTGCTCACAAAGTCCGAGGAACTGGACAGGCTCAAGGGGGTGGGGTATGTATGTACCCGCTCCCATGCACGCAGGTGTATGTATGTGTCTGTCTCAGGTGGGCAGCAGTTGGAGTGGGGAATCGTCCAGCGCAGAGAGTCATTAAAACTGACCTGAGAATCTTAGGGCATCACTAACAAGTTCCAGAGACAAGACTTTTCAATTGACATAAAGTCTTTATCTACTATACCTATCAAGACGAACCATTGCTTGTTCACCATTTGTAATATGACTACATGGGACAACCTTACTGCTAAACATCTGATTGACATCTCATTTTATTCTCATAAGAGCCCAGTGAAGTTGACACTCAATTTGTTCCATTTCCTACTTAAGAAAACCAAGGCTTAGAAAGTTAAGTAACTTGCTCAAGGTGACGTATCACAGATTTGACCCTGGACTGTCTGACTCCATCGAAATCCACATTCTCAATGGCTGCTATGGTCTCCCTGCCTCTGGTTTAGGTTGGTGGAAGATTGATTTCCTGGTTGCATAGAGGAAATCAGGTGGGTGCCGCTTGCTACAGGGACTGGATTAGCTCTGACCAGAGCAAGGGGCAGGTGGTGCCCCCTGGTGGTAGTGGTAAGGAAGGACCAGTGGGTGGGAGCTTCAGGTTGCCCTTTTAGTGAGACACAGCTGTGTCCCAGGGAGCACAGAGCGGGTTCCATAGAGTCCAGCTGCCCCAGGCAAAGGGCTAGAGTGTGTCTCCTTTCCCAGGGCCCTGGGGATGTCCTCGTGCCTCCTGCCCAGGCAGCCAGGCACTGATCAGAAGTGATTCACACCAGTAACCCAAATGACATCACCAAACGCCACATTCTTATTCAAAACCAGGCTTTGCACCTCAATTCTGACTCCTGCACATAACACACTGGCATCACCTCAGTTACAACTCAGGGCCTCTGACTTTGGCTAATTTAGAAGTCATTGCTGGACTGTGTTTGCTACCAGGGTTCAGGTTTGTGGGGAAGGGGTGTGTGCAGTGGCTGGAATTTCCTGGGGACCCACCATGCCAACGTGCCACCCCATGGGGAATCAGATAGGATGGGGAGTAAGGCAAGATAGGAGGTGCCCTGAAGCTCAAGGAGCATGGCAGGGCCACAAGGGTTCTGGGGAGGGGGCTGGGAAGGTATGAAACCAGATTTTTAAAACATCAGGACAGCTAAGTGTCAGAGCCTGGGTTAGAACAAACTCTGGTTTGATGCCTCTGAGCACAAAACAGAAGCAGAGCTGGCAAGGGGAATCTCTGAGAGGTTCCAGTGGCTCCTCCTGCAGTGTCTGTCCTCCAGTCCTAAGAGCCCCCCACCCCCACCTGGGAAGGGTGCAGGGTGAGTGGGTGCGTGGCGCAGGTGGGGACTCTCAGTGCCTGCGTTCTATTTCCAGCTCCTATCACTGACTCATAGCGTGACCTTGCTGAGGTCATGGCTCTGTGTTTCTTGGGAGGGGGGCCGAAGGGGGATCAGAGGTGACAAAGTTTGCCTTTTCCCCAGGGATGGGAGTCCTAGACTATGGGGGACCTCCTGCTCCCCATGAGCCCCAGCTATGTCTGGTCCTACTGATAAAATTTTTTAAAAAATTGTAGATTAGGATCCAAGGGATGGGGGGGGCACTCAAAGCCAAAAGCAAGTTGTCCCTGCCATTTTAAGAGGCGTGGCCACTCTTAGGTGATGTTTCTCCCATGTTATACAAAGCACAGTCCCATACAAATAATTCCCCGCATGGGGAATTAACATCACTGCAAGGGGAGAAGGGAAGCCTTTTCTCCCTCACTTCAAGAGGAGGGACTTGAAGCAGTGGGTGGAATTGCACAATCCCTTCATTACCAGGAGCCCCCTTTTACTATTTTGCTACCCCTCAACACCCCCCCCACCTGCTAGGCCCTCGTTGACAAAATGCTCTGCACTTATTAGGTAGAAACTCGTGGTTTTCATTCATCAAACTCACTCGTGAGTGACAGTTAAAGTTTCTGCCCAGCACAGAAGAACTAGTGCTACCTCGGAGCTCGCTGCCAAGAATGACAGTGTCGACGCTGGATGACCTCTTCCTAGGTAAAAGACCAATTTTTCACCAGACTTCCTGAAATTTCCAAGAGGTCATCTCCAACAGACCCAGGCTGGAGAGCCCCCAGAAAGACTCTGGGTTGTGGTGGGGTCAGGATCAGACCCGAAGCTCAAGGAGCATGGCGGGGCTCACAGGCTAGTCCTTCAGCCAAGCAGCCCACTTGGCAGGGAGGCCTGTGTGCCCCCCGAGACCCAGGTGCACAGGAGCATCAGTGCAAGACGGCAGCGCAACCAAATGCAGGCGTCATGAAGCAATGATGCTCAAGGCTCAGACCAGGATTGGGGCCCCTCAGTACTGGGCTGAGCATTCTGAACCAAGCCTGAGGTTGGAAAAGCACGATAGATCATTTGAAGGTGCTTCTGCAAGAAGAGTGGGGGTGGGGAGGGGGGCTCTTCTGCTACCCATTTCACTGTGTGTGACTCTTGAAAACGGAATCACTGAATCTCACACCTACTCAGGAGCGTTCAGACCAGTCTTTCCAATGCTCCTTTTCAAGAGAGTGAGACCAGAGATGGAAGCCGAACCCTCCAGGCTGGGGTCAATAAAGGCATGCTGGGACCCCTGGAAGAGTGGGAACATAGACAGGGGACACCGGAGGTCCAGCTTGGTAGCCTGGGTATAAGCAGGGGAAGAGCTTATGGACTCTGAGCACCTCAAAGCTCCCAGGGTGCCTCCTCCTCCTCTGGACTCCTGCAAAGACTCTTCTCTTGGAGCCCTTGGCTCCATCCCAGAGGCTCAATTGTTTGATCCCAGGGCTCAGAGGCGTCAACAGCCTGTACCTTTGGAAAAAGACTGGGGGCTTAGCTCTGTGGTTTCAGAATCTCAGGCTCCACCAATCCCTAGCAGGGCCAGGGGCCTGGGCAGGGGCTCTGGGAGCCTGTTGCCCCCACAGCTGTTCCCTGCGCTATTTTGGTCCCCGGGGAGCTAGTCAATTCCAGGGTATTTGGACCAAAATAGCTGATAGCAGGACCATCTCCTGATGGCTCTGTGTGGACCTCCCCACGGGAAAGTTTGTAAAGTGGATGTGGGGTAGCCAAGAGGGAACTCTCTGACAATGTCTGAGGTCCTCTCAGCCTTTGGGCAGCCCTGGTCACCCACCTACCCATCAAAGCTTGCGGTTGATGGCAGAGGGAGGGAATAAAAATTTCTGAACATGGTTTCTTGGCTCCCTAGTCCTCCCACAGCCGGTCAGATACATAGTATCCTTTCCCATTTCACAGAAGGGGCTAACCGGGTTGAAAGAGGTGGGTTCACTGGTCCCACGCCACACAGTCTTGGACCTTGGGCCACCATGCCTCTTGTTAGACCCTCAGCGGATCCGTGCCGGCTGGATGCCAGTTCTATCACGAAGCTCAAGCCAGTATGGAAAGTGCTGACTGGTCCTGGCTGCCCTTGGGGCCACCGCGGGGGCCCTAGCAACCCAGGCTTCGCTCACTCTTCGCCCCACCGTGATGGGTAAACTGGAGGTGGGAGGAGGGAAGCTCAGTCACCCGGCAGCCCCTGGCGCGGCCCAGATAGCCTGCGGCGATTTTCCCGGGCTCAAAGCGAGAGTGTACCAGGTTACGCTCCCTTTGGCGAGCGGGCTGGCTAGCAGAGAGCGCGCTTTGGCACCAGGCGGGCACTGGGGTGCGGGGCGCATGCCCCAGACACGCCCTATGGAAGCCGCTCCGGGGCTCAGTAACTGAACTTAGTCGTGCCGCTGGCCAAGTCTTACTTCCCGGCCCGAGTTGGGGCCGCGCTGGCGACAGCCGCGAGGCTACCCGCAGCTCCC